TTGTCAGTTCCTTCAGTGCAGCTTGAAATTTGTCCTTTACTACATTGAGTTCTTGATCATGTGCAACCTCCTGAAATGATTTTGTGTCAGTTCTTTTTGATGACACTGTATACCTTTAATTTTCTTTTGATGTTTCTTGTATCATTCAAGATTTTGCCCACTGAATCCTTCAGTGTTGAAATTAGAGGCTTGAATTCAGTCATTTTTTTTTTCAACTTGAGAAATGCCAAGTGCATTCTTATCTTTTGGTTTTCTAACTCTTGAACTATTTGCATATTTTATTTTAATATCTTGCTTTATCTTCTCAAGCTGCCCTTTTAAGTATCTGTTCAGTTCTCTTCAACATTTCAACCCTTTGTTTTGGCTTCTTATTGCACATATCGGAGACTTCTGTAGTCCATTTTTATGATTTCTTTCTCTATCTTTATAATTGTCTTTTGCTTTAGTTCTTGATGTCCATGTAGAATGGATATATCATCCCACAACTCATCTGCTCTTGAGAGTTTATCAATTCTAGTCCGTTTCATTATGCCTGGGATGTGGCTCTTTATGCGTTCCACTTTATTTTTTACAACTTTGAATTTTTCTATATTCATACTTAATAAGTTTCATGTTCCAGTTATTAATAGATGTTTGCAGCTGTTTCTTCTAATTTTTTTAGTGCCTTCTACCCTGAGTCTTCAATATGGATTGCATTTCAGTGTCAAGAAAACAAAGATTCTTACACTGGACAGTAAACAACATCATGATGAAGGGGAGACTGAAACTGTCAACAACTTCGTCTTACTTGGATCCAGAGTTAACACCTTTGGTACCAACAATCAGAAAATAAGGAGATGCATTGCATTGGAAAAGTCTGCAGTTAGGGGCTTCTCAAAATTATTGGGGTATAATGATGTTAGTTTGAGGAATTAGGTGCATCTGATTCAGGCCATGGTCTTTCTGATCACTCATTGTGCATCTGAGAGCTGGACAATGAATAGGGGATAACAGAAGGATAATTGATGCCTTTGAGCTGTGATTTGGAGAAAAACACTGAACATTTCATGATCTGCCAAAAGAACAAACAAATATGTCTTGGAGAGGGGGTAGCCAGAGTGTTCTTTGGAGGCAAAGATGAAGTTTCCCCTCATGTACTTAGGGCATGTTGTTAGGAGGCACTTTTCCCTGGAGAGGGACATGATGCTGGGAAGGGTAGCGAGTCAGCGAAGGAGAGGAAGACCCTCGACCAGGTAGATTGAAATGTTGACTCTTGCACTGGGCTCTATTATTTCAAGAAGTGTGAGGAGGCACAGGATAGGACAAGGTTCAGATCTGTTGTTCACAGGATTGTTATGAGTCGTACTGTACTTGACGGCACCTGACAACAACAACCTGCGAGGCTCACCCACAGCGTGATATTTAGCAATGTTCTTTTTTGAAGGCCTGTTAATTTGGAAGAGAACTCTAGTGTTCTTGTGAGGAAAGGAGTTGTACTCAGAATTCAAAGGCAGTCAATTTGAATCCACCAGCTGCTCCATGGAAGAAAGATAGGCAGTATCCTCCTGTGTGATTTACAGCCACTGAGAATATTTTGGAAGGTCAGCCATGAGTTGCTTCCATCTTGACAGCAATGAGTTTGAGTTTTTTAGTTATTTTACAAGTGGATGGTTCTGCTTCTTAGTCGGTCCTAATCTGAAATCTCTCTGGAAATCTTCCCGAGTCATCCTGCTTGTATTTTAAATATTGGTGACTTAGCTTCTAGCCTCATTGCAACACACAGGTCACCACAGTACAGCCAATTTTCAGATAAGTGCCACACCCATAAGAACAAATTATAAACAAGTATACGAACAATACACAGACAAACGTGTATGCTCTGGAAAATAGAAAAGAATCTCTCTGGCCTGGAACTGTACTTGCCAGCCAAATAGAAACTTAGAGTTGAAGTGCTGAGTCAGGTCAGAGTTTGTGCTCCTCCCAGTCATCATCTGTGCCCCAAGATGGGAGCCAAGGCACAGGTAGTTCTTCCAATCTATAGGTGCCCAGGGATAGGTCCCTCAGCCTGAGAAAGAGTTTCTTCTGCTGGCCTAGTTGGCTAGCTAACAAGGAATGCAAGTAAAAATCTTGGTGGTTGTTAGGTACTGTTGAATTGGCTACAACTCATAGCAATCACATGAACAATGGATCTAAACCTTTCTCTGTCCTGTGCCCTATGTGCCATCATCAGCATCTCTGATTTTCTTGAACCTCTTGTTGCAAAAATTAACGAACTAATGGAATCCTGATTGACATATTTCAGCAAACAGATACAGCCCTTGATGTGCTCACCCAGTTGTGCCAAGAAATCTGGAGGACAGCTAGCTTCCTGGCCAACTGACTGGAAGAGATCCATATTTATTCTCATTCTCAAAAAGGTAATCCATCAGAGTATGGTTATTATCAAATAGTATCACTAATATGACAAACAAGCAAAATCCTGCTGAAGATTATCCACAAACCACTGGAGCAGTACATCAGCAGAGCACTGCCAGAAATATAGGTTGGATTTAGAAGAGGCCATGGCACTAGGGACAGCATTGCTAATGTCAGATTGATCTCTACTGAAAGCAGAGATTACCAGAAGACTGTATATTTGTGTTTTATTTACTATGTAAAGGCCTTTGATTGTGTGGGTCACAACAAATTGTGGCTGACAGTGAGAAGAATGGGAGTCCCAGAACACTTGATGATGCTCATGTGAAACCTATACTTGAACCAGAAAGCACTTGTCCAGAGCAAGGAAACACTGCATGGTTTAAAAGCAAGAACGGAGTGTGTCAGGAATGTATCCTTTCTCCATACTTTTTAATCTATATGCAGAACAAATAATTCAGGAAGCTGGGCTTTATGAGGAGGAATGTGACATCAGGATTGGAGGAAGACTCATCAGTAACCTATATTTTGCAGATTGCACAACCTTGCTTGTCCAAACTGAGGAGGAACCAAAACATTTGCTGCAGAAGTTCAAGGACTGCAGTATTCAATATGGATTGCAGCTCATTATCAAGAAAACAAAGATTCTCACCACCAGGCCAATTGGTGGCATCATGATAGGTAGAGAAGAAATTGTGATTGTTAACAGTTTCATCTTGCTCAGTTACATACCAGCAGTCAGGAATTCAAAACACCAGTTGTATTAGGAAAATTTGCCATCAGGAACTCTCCAGAGTGCTGAAAAGCAACGATGTCAGTCTGGAGACTAAGCTGTGCCCGATCTAATCCATGGTCCTCTCAATTCCTTGCTATGCATTAGAGAGCTGGACAATGACTAAGGATGACAATAAAAGAATCTATGCCTTACAGTTGTGGTGCTGGACAAAAGCATTGAACATACAGTGGACTGCCAAGAGAACTAACAAGTCTGTCCTGAGGAGGATGAAATTAAGTTTTTCCTTGGAGGCAAAGATTGTGAAGCTCCATCTCACATACTCTAGGCATGTTGCCAGGAGGGGCCAGTCTTTGGAGAAGGACATCATGCTTGGAAGGGTGGAGGGTCAGGCAGAAGACGAAGACCCTGCATGAGATGGATTGACACAGAGATTGGCTCAGGATAGGGCAGGGTTAAGAGCTATTGTGCATGGGTGTCTTTGAGTTGTAGATGTTTAGTGGCACCTAAGAACAACCTATGTATCTGAAAGTTGAGCAGTGAATAAGGAAGACCAAAGAAGAGTCAGTGCCTCTTAATTGTGTTCAGGATGAATATCCTATGAACTGGCAAAAGAACAAACAAGGCTGTCTTGGAGGAAGTGCATTCAGAATGCTCTTTAGAGGTCAGAATGGTGAAACTTCATCTCACATACTTTGGGCATGTTTCAGGAGAAGCCAGTCCTTAGAAAAATACCTCATGTTATGGAAAAGAAAAAAAAAACTTTAAAAAAAGATGGATTGATACAGTGATAGTAACAGTGGGATCAAGTATAATAGAGATTAGGAGGACAGGGCAGGTTTCAGGTAGGGCTTCTATGAATTGTATTCTACTGACCAGCACCAACCAACAACAGCAACACACAGAAGGAAGGTAGGAATACTGGAATAAAGGATGAATGGGAACAAATACACATTGGAAAAGGGATGAGTTACGGCATTGTGATCAGTGGTATGATCCAAAATGTGGATGTTTATTAGCTTTGCAGACTTGAAGCCGAATTACAGTACCCACTACTTATTACTATCAAATCCATTCCAGCATACAGTGACACTCCATCAGTTTCCGAGGCTGTAAATTTCTGAGGAGACTTCTCATTTTTCCTGTAGAATAACTGGCGGATTTCAACTGCTTACCTTTCAGTTAGAAGCTTAATACATACCAAACTAAACCACTGTTTTGCCTTAATTTACAATACTTGCTGCCATCAAGTTGGTTGTAGTTCATAATGACCCTCCATCAAGTTTGTGAAGCTTTAAATCTTTGAGAGAGGACACTGTTCATCTTTCTTCCAGGGAGCAGCTGGTAGATTCAAACTACCAGCCTTTTATATGCTGTGCCACTTGTGTTGCTATTGCTGGGTACATCAAGTCAAGTACAACTCATAGCAACCCTGTGAAAAAGGTCTGAACCCTGTCCTGTCCTGTCCTCTTCATCTCTGACCTTTGAGCTTGTTGCTGCAGTCATTTGTATCAATCCATCTCATTGATGATCTTCACATTTAGGTCTCCTTAAATGAAAATAAAGTTTAAAGAAAATTCTAATGAAATGTGTATATTGACTCTTATTAGTATAATCTAAAGAGTGTCTGAGAACCTCTCTGCTTTTTTAGGGATTAGTTTGTTCCTTAATACACATTCATGATGTTACTATTAGATCATGAAAGTGTTATAATGCATTTAAAGCCATATTACACACTTTGTTCCGGGTGTTTATAAAATGAAAATTAAATAAATTTCTTCTAGGTATTTTATCTCAATGTAGAAGTAATTTTAAAAGATAAAATGAGGAAAATCTTGTAGGGTTTTTCCTTACCTTTTTATTTTATTTTTAGTGGATGTTTCTTCAAATTGTGCCTTCTTGGAGTGGATCTTTAAAACAACTTTTGACTGAAACAGATGCCTGGCTTTCTAAGCAAAGAAAAGGTATGCTTTAAACTTTTTCTGTGAAAGTTTTTTTATGAAATATATTAAACTCAGTTTCATCCTGGCTTGTTTATAAACATAGAGAATTTTAGAGCTAGAGAAACCCATAACTTGTCTCAGTCCCTCATTTGCACTGAAAAAATAGAGACCATATTTAATATACTATGGACTGCTAAGAAAACAAACAGGTTTGTCCTGGAGGGGATGAAGCCGGGCTGCTCCTTGGAGGCAAGGATTCTGAAGCTTAGTCTGACATACTTTGGACATGTAGCAAGGAGGGACGTCATGCTTGGGAGGGTGGAGGGACAGCATAGAAGAGGAAGACCCTCGATGAGGTGGATTGATTTAGTGACTGGGGTAATGGGGGTGGGTGTGTCAGAGATAGTGCGATTGGCACAGGATAGGGCAGCGTTTTGGGCTGTTGTACATAGGGTCGTTATGAGTCGACGGCACATAACAACAACAACAAAGATGCCTCATTGAGTTATTATTTTCCCACATTTATCATCAATTTTGGTGATTGTATTTATCTTTCATTTAACCATATTGCATTTTATTTAACAACCTATTTGCCTATTAGTCTACACCTCTTAACATAGATACACATGGATAGAGCTTTGTGTGTAATAACCATATAACATGTAATATGTAAAATCCATATAACATGGTTAGAATTTTGTGTGTAATAACCCCAAAAGTGGATGGAAAATATAATATGTACATGTATGGGGTTTTTTTTTTTTAATTATTAAATTTTTTTTTTTGTTTTAATGAACACTTACAGAGATTTTGGGTTTTCATTCATTCATTGTTGCACTGTACATGTATGTTTTTCAGGGAGAAAGCTTCATACTTTTCCACTGCTTGTCAGTGGAAATGCATTTAATCAGGTTAAGAGAAACTGCTGCTACAAGGTTTTAGGTAGGCAGAAGTGGAGAGTCTAGTATTTTTTCTTTGCAAACTTATGACTACTATGTCTTTTCCTCCTATTTTATTTTTTAATTGGAATTAAAATAATAGTGTTCATCATATGAAACTGTATTGTAAGTTAAAAGAATTTCAAGAGATTCCTCTTCTGTCTTGTAAAGACCTTGACTAAGGCTTTTGGCCTCCACTGAGGTGCTCAGTCTACAAGATAAGGAATCCTGGAAAGATACATGTAATGCCACCATTCTCAAGCCTGCCTTTCCTGTGTTCTTTGCTGTAAGCTCCAAACCTTGGAATGGCAATAAATTAAATTCCCAGTGCAGTAGTCTAATTAGGTCATTGTTAATTTCCTGTTTTCCCCCCCATATGTCCCTAAGTTTATATCTAAGTTTATATATCCCTAAGGTTTATAAAATTTGTGAAGACTTTAAAACCAGTTTATTCTATATTCTTACAGACACACTGAATGTGTGTCCATTAAAAATACTGAAGAACAAAATAATAGCTTTGAAAGAATCATTTCTAATTTAAACTATTTTTCTAGATTTTGAAGGTTTGGCCTTCCTTGAAACTGAGCAAGGGAAACCATTTGTGTCAGTATTCAAAAGTTTAAGGTTACAGTACATTATTAGTGATCTGGCTTCTGCAAGAATTATTGAGCAAGATTCTCTAGTACCTTCAGGTAAGAGAACATAAAGAAATTATTATTTTAAGTAGTATTTTTCTGATGTTAGTAATAATAAAATACGTGTGGAAAAGAATAATGGGGAAAAAACAGAAATTTTATGTAGTGCCCTGGTGGCCTAGTGGCAAGGAACTGCACTGCAATCCCAAAGGCTGGTTTGAGGCCAGCAGCTGCTCCATAGGAGAAAGATGGAAAATCTCCTCCTGTGTGATTAACTGCATCTGAAAACCCACTGGAGGGTCATCTACGGTTTGGTTCCGACTCTGTGGTACATACCAATAACCAATTTCAGAAATGTGTATCTTTTTATAGTAAAGTGAAATCAAATTATGTAGATCACTTTCTGTGCTTCAATTATGTGTCATGGGCATTTTTTCATTACTAAATAGTCTCAGAATATTTAAATTGCTAACTCAATGGTACATAACAACAACAACAACATATGGTATTCTGTCTATAACATGGATATTCTTTATTTTTATTAACTGTTACAACTTTTTAAACTTAAAATGGCTTAATGTATGAAAGGTCATAACTGCTTTTAATTTTGTTGTTGTTATGTGTCATAGTGTCCGAACCAACCCGTAACTGATTCTCCAGCAAGTTTCCAGCAGCTATAAATCACGCAGAAATAGGGCCCAGATTTCTGTCATGGAGCAGTTAGTGAATTCAACCACTTGCCTTAGATTTGGCAGTACAACTTCTTGCCATTAAGCCACCAGAGCTCCCTTTTCTCTATTCAGATTTTAAAACTTGCTTATTTTTTGTTTTGTTTTTATTTTCCTTATTCATTCTACAAGTGTTAAGGTTTGTATGAAATGAAATGGCATATCTTTGTTAATTATAATTTACATTTTAAAATTATTACTGATTTAATTTTCTTAATGAACTAATTTGTGTTAAGATTCTGTTCAGTACTACATACAAGAAATTGAAAATAGTATTTCTCTTTAAAGATTTATTTGTAAACGTTGATAGTAATAGGCTGTTTTAATCTCAGTTTTTCTGAAGATTTGATTACCAGTAAAATCGTAGTTCTTTAATAGTTACAGTATGTTTTATATGTCAGGTTCTAGCCATGTTATGTTTGTAGATGCCAATGTCAATTCCATTTATACTTTCTTAAAATTAGTTTTCATATAAGTATTCATTTTCATTGTATTTTATTCTTATAGTGTTCTAGATAATCCCTCATTTACATTGTGTTTCATACAGTCATTCATTAACACTATATCCCGTGTAATTAATTACCATTGATTACCACTATTACACCATCTTTTCAAGTCCCAATTGAATCTTTTTCATTCTCCCCTACTCCCCCAGTCTACCATCTAAACACTGTTATCCTACCCCTTCCTCTGTTGAACATTTATACACATCTTACTACTAATTATTGTTCTGTTTTTATAATAAATGGTCTTACTAGTATTTGTCCTTTTGAGACTTGAGTTAGTTCACTCTGCATAATGCTCTCTAGATGCTTCCATGTTATATAATATTTTACAAAATTGTTGCTCCTTAATACAGCATAGTATTCCATTGTGTAAATGTACCACAATCTCTCAAATCTATTTATTTGTTGATTGGACATTTGAACCATTTTCCTATTCATAGTTCTTGTGAATAATGCTACTGTGAACATAGGTGTACATGTTCATGCCTCAGTTCTAATTCCTTGAGGAAAGACTGTTCCTTGGAAAGATGGATGGTCAGGAAAGGAGAGGAAGACTCTCAACCAGCTGGATTCACATAGGCTCTAGTGTGTCACAGATGGTGAAGATGGTACAAGATAGGACAGGGTTCATGTTGGCTTTTCATAGCATCACTATGAGTCATCCTGGATTTGATGGCACCTAACAACAACAACAACTTTATTGTACAACCATCACTACTGTCAATTTTCAGGTTTTTTGTCATCCCTCTGAAAGAAACTCAGTAACACTCCACTTTCCCCTCGTATTTACCCCTGTATAAATTTTGATCTCTGTGAATTAAAGCAAGATTTACACCACAACAAGATAAAGGTAAATAATCCAATAGAAAAATGGGCACAGGATATGAACAGGCACTTCACCGAAGACGACATTCAGATGGCT